CAATCGTTGAAGATGAACGAAAACGCGTCGCCATATCGCAACAATACATGTTGTTTTAATACCGAGGAAGTGGTGTTTACATTCGATGATTACTAATAATTACTGTAGCATGATCCGGCTTAAATCTATTATCCAATTATCTGTAATCACTATATTGGAATTACTACTTGCAGTGAACTCCTAACGATGCTGGCTATTGCAATATCGAAATCAACATAGTTATTACTGTTTGTTTTTAAAACTTAATTTTAAAAAACCTGCACCATCGCGACATCGCTGAAAAATGTGTATGAAGCATTGCTTATTAACCATTTAAGCACATTCAGATTGCATCAATCATCGAGTATCGCGACCACATACAAACAGGTAGTGCATGAGTTCCTATAGATGCACATACGAAGAGGGAGATTTTGCAGCGGAATTAGAAATTAGACCATTGTAAGTCAAATTTGATCACTTTCGACGGATATAATCAACTTCCTGAAGTTATGTCGCATGAAGGCTGAGTACCAATGCACACTTTTGGTATATCTTGNATCTGAGGCATCAGAAATGCAGCAGCAATAATCACCCATTAGCATAACTTTCCTTTAGAAAATTGGCTGTGAGTGAGTGTATGATATGGATTGCAAGCAAATAACTCATTTACAGTTCAGCTGTATGATGTTCAAGCAATTCAACATGACAATCACATCCCAGCTGCACCTTTTGCGAGCCCACCATGTTAGGATTTCTACGTTCAGTTACGTCAGCTTAGAAGACTATGACCTTTTAAAAAGATTCCTCTGTGATTCACCTTCAACCTGCCGATTCGAATCATTCAGCCTATCAATTGTATGCTTTCATGTCGGTCCTTAGCAGAGACCTAATTTTCCTTGAAATCTCCTAAAATTCCTTGTAGGTTGCTTCGACACTAACGGATCAATTACCGTGAGCAATGTATTTCATTACGTTTATTGAAATGGATAGAATATACGACTACAAAGGAGTTGTAATTCATGGCTGCTGATTCAAACAAAACTGATTACATTCAGATGGTCTAGACACAGCGATAGAAACGCAGGAAATTTGTGTAAATCTCAAAGAAATACCTATCCGCCTTTTGCAGTTTGCATCGTTCACCCTCAGGAAACACAGAGCAATAACCAAAATTAGTGATCAATCATCCAAGCAAAAAAACATGCATAAAATAAGCCAGAAATTTGCTAGCGACTGTAACGATGCACTGCTCTCTGAATTGATTGCTATCCTATCTCCCAACAAATAAGGAATGGCAGTAATATGTTTATTCTTCAGATCAATATATGATCAGATCAGCAGTTTCAAAATCGTAACAAATCACCGAAGGGCGGATCCGAACCATCGTCTTCAATCTCCTCAATCAATTCCGACTGATCGTCATAAACTTCAAATAAACTTCAATTAGTTGCACAATTAATACGAATCGCAATCTCTTCTCTAACACCAGCTCAACACTCCTCAAATGTGAATCTGAATAGACACTGAACTTCGTTGGAGTGCATTTCTCTAGGCGATTATTCACTTGAAAATTTTGATGGCACTGAACAACTATTTAAGCACGACATCAATACCGTTACGTATTGTAACAGATCAAACAGGAATATCTGCACAACAGTTTATATCCGAATATTGAACCACTGATAAAAGGCTGATGGTGAAGAGTGCTCATGGTGACGAGCTGCTGAAAAGGAATCACTACTAAACAAATGCAGTGCTCTCATCTTAATCGTTCCTAAAACCGTATCCACCATCAATCACCCTCACCANCCTCACCATACTCACAACCTTATGTAGTATTGATCGCTCTCATAATTTTACGGAGTACCACCATCATAATATTTGAACAACTAATCACCGAAAAATCATCAATTGAAATTCAGAAATTTCGAAATTTTCAGAAATAAATTTTTTTGCAATTTTTCTCAAAAAATTCAAAAAAATCAGAAAATGATTTGAAAAATTTAAAAAATCGAAAAACAAAAAAAAATTCAGAAATTACGAATTGAAACACATTTCTAAGACATGAACAAACGCATTCACATGAAAGCGAGCGATTTCGTTGAAATTCTTTGCAGTCTGTTACAATATGCTGATTGAGATGGATCACACCACATTTTTGGACCTATTTATGGACCAAAGAATATCAGATCAGTCGAACTGCCCATCTCACCACCTCAGTCGAATTTCCGTTTATTTCACCTCGAAAATGAATCTTAACTGATTCTCATAAGAAAGCGATAATCCGATCAAAACGTTATTTACGGTGTGTGAACGATCATCAAACGAATCATTAAACAGGTGATGAAAGAAATTCGAAAAGATTCTCATTGAAATGGCCTCGAACAGATAAAGCATGATAAGTATACATTCTTGATTCGTCACACCTACATCAGTCAACAATTCTTATTAATTTGCATCCGCGTCAATAGATGTTCGTAACTTTACCACTTGCATTCTGTTGCAATAACGACACCTATTTATCAGAAAACTCTAATTTATCAGTCAAGCACCAATCAACTCCAATTAAATTTGATACGGTGTTGGTTTTCGACAGTGAGCAATTCGTTTATCGATCGCTCGAGGCGATCGGCAAAATGTTCGTCATTGTTACGATTGTTTAGCGGATTGTTGCTGGTATTCGGCTGGATTTAGCTATGCAAATTATCTATGGCAATAGGCACTCGTTATTGGTTGGCTGTGGAGTGCTTGATACGCCGATTGCTATGGATCTACTCGATTACAGTAATCGTTTATTACTGATAACGAAAGATTACTGATTCACTACTGTTGGTTGTTCCAAACAACTACTCTGATCGATCGTTGGACAAGTGTTCAAGCGATCAATCGGAATGTATTTTCGGGCTCCTTCTCAGTCCGTCTCCCTAGAAATCATTGGGCAATATAGGAGAGTAGCGCAAAACCTCTGTGCTTGCCAGATCAGTAATCCAAGTTCGAATTTCATGAAGACAGATGATTCAAATGCTATTACCGTTAGCTATGCGGAAAGAAGAATGCCAAGGAAGGAAGAATGTGATATTAGTGATAACAGAGAGGCATACCCGTAATGAGTTTGATTCGCTGATTAAATAAAATAAATAAACTCTAATTTATCCGAGCTTCTGTTCTGCGTCAATTAAATGTTGCGAACAGTTTTGTTTCGGCTAACGAGAAATCCTTCACGACAACTGATCACTGTCGCCTCATCAGTTGCATGACCACTCACTTCGATTGGTTGTTCATTTCGTACGATTTCCTATTCGACAAAAGACAACTCAGAATGTAAATAATATAATGTTACAAGGCTATTTCTCAAAAGTTGTGCCTAAAATTTAGCGGAAGCACGATAGATATATGAATGTGCGAAAGACATAAAGGTTTTATTGACATTTCTTTACATTAGTTATGGACCACTGATAAAATCGCTTGTAATATTCCCTAAACAGCAACAAAGACAGTACATCCACGATGCTCATGAACTGAACGAATACAACCACTGGACACTATGAATGTGTTGCAACAACGATGCGTATCATCGAATGATGTTCTGATATATTTTAAAACCGATTCCAGTTGAAGGAGAGCAGAACAATCCAAAAGCACAAGATGTCCTCATAGATTCACAGATCGCCAGAAAACAATACGCACGACAATAAACAAATTATTCACAAAAAACAACCACGAAAATGTTTATATTGTCACTGCTGATGATTGAATTCTCATCGCTTTTTATTTTATATAACATACTCAAAACAATCACTCAACATATATACAACACAAGCAAATTCGATTAAATCCCCATTGAAAGCATAACATCACATTGATGAGAAGGCGATGGTTATGTGAAAAAGTTATGTCATTCAATCTGACATAGTAAGATGTCATCAAGTGATAAACTATTATATCTAAATTCTGGAAACAATGTGCATAAAAATTTATATAACAATGGCAGACATCAATAGTCTTCTATAAAAGATACATTTAATNATACATTTAATGAATACAGAATTAAGAATTTCAAATTTCGCATCACAGTTCCACAACAGAGCATGACAAAGGATGAGAACTTGCGAAAACTGTGAAACGTCCGTTAACTTCAAAAACGTGACGACCGGATAACAACGATATTGAACAACGAAGTAATAAAATTTCATTGAGAACAGTTTGAAATTTTACTGTCGACACAGAGAGAACGGTTTGTACAGAGCAAACAGACAAGCACTCAATCATCACGCAAAAAAATGACTTCCTTTTAAGGTGTTGAATTTTTCAGAAGAAAACTTAAGATGAACTCCTAAATGAAATTCCAAACCAAGCGCAATTTTCAGTCTGAACCTAAATTCAGGTTCTAACTCTTCCAAATCAGCTCTTTACAGTGACCAGCGAGTTGTTGAGTCAGGCGAGTTCACAGACTGTCCGCAGGAAAAGAGTATTTAAATCTCTATTTTGTTTGTTTCGCCGGATCTGTTTCGTCCACTGCATCCAAAGTACTTGTTGATTGCTTTTTGTGTAACTCCGTCACGAACTGTATACCAGCCTTACGCGCCGCACGACCAGCGATTGAACGAGGCCCTAGATCCCAAATTTGGAACGCAGCTAGTGTGGTGTGTCCGGTGGCGAACAACGCCTCGTGTGCTGTCGTCGACGCTTCATCTCCATACCTACAAATACATTC